CTTGTATTGGATGTAAATATCGTTGTGATTTTATACACATTTCAAATTAAAAATGTATCAGTTGCAAAAAGTCTTTTTATGGTGGCAAAAAAAAAATTAGTCCCACACTATTTTTTTATGCGACGAACACGGTCAGTGTCTTGATTGATGGCGTTTTTTTTTTCGGAATAGTATAATGTACTGCTACACCTATTAACATGATACCCATTTAAGTAAATAAATACCTACTTGATGTATAAATGTGCAGATAGGTATAATTATGTATAATACACAAATTACATCAAGTTATAATTACCGAACTGGAATAGGTAGATAAAAAAATTAAGATATAAACTGTTAATTTATCTAGATTATTATTAAATTTACTATCGCTTAAAGAGTTTTTAGTTACACGAGCGCGCGTAACAAACTAACGATTATGTCATATAATTGGGGCAACGTATGTTGTTAGCTTTTTTGTTGATGAAATTAAAATAACCCATTGTGCTACCAAGGTTACCCATATTAAGTCAAGCGCACTTCCGTTGCCACACGATTTTCCTCTTTAAAAACAAAGTGGTAAGTTCGCTTCTGTTTTTATGCTGTTACGATGTTTTAATCTCTATCAGCAATGCAGTAAGGACATAGGGGTACAATTGGGAGCAACGCTGTGTATACTAAGTAATGTTGAATAAGTCACGTATGCGTGTGTGAGTCTAAATGTTCACCAATGCACGAATATAAAAATGTAAACACATTTTTTTTATTTTTAGTTCTGTTTATTTTTTTTTAAGTACCTATTCATATTTATTCTTTTTGTTATCCTTCGTTAATATGTAGTTGCTGAAAACATTAGTTATACCTACTATGTTAATAGATATTGAGTATAAATATTAAAGAATTTTATAAATGAAATTTTATTATTTGCCAGACAACATCTTGAAGGACAATATGGACACGTGTTATTTTCGAGTCCGTTTTGATGATGTTCTAATTGAAAATATTTACTCTTGCATTGACTCTTTATTGGTTCAAGAATAATCTATTTTCAACATTTATGTTAAACACAAAACAAAATATTGATATTATTAACATATTAATTCTATTGTTCCACAAAAAAAAAAAAAAACTTCAATTGTGGCAAAACCAATTATTTTGATTTAAAATCTTAATTATTGGACCGATTATGATAAAACTTTTATGGGACCGATCTATGAGTATAATCCTTTCAGAAAAAGAATTTTCCAGATCAGTTTACAACCGACGGAGTTATAAAACATTAAAATAAAACAGAATCGAGAACTTCTGTTTTCTAAAATCTATTGAAAACACTTATACTTTTCCATAAGAAAACATTTTATAATAAATAGTTTGACCTGACCAATTTTACCGCTAAAGGCATTTTCAAAGGTAAATTTTACTCTAGGTTCATCCGTACAATTAATTGAAAGATTGCTGGAAATACTATACAAAATAAATCTAAATTTACATCTCTTTATTATTACTATTTATATAAGGTTTGGATAAAAGGACGTGGGAACAGCTCCATAAATATATTAAGAATTATGTTCAGTGCCACAAAACGTTTGCATCAACATAATAATCGTCCGTTTTTTATCTCGAAACGAATGTAAACACAATGCTATGTTGACACACCCGCCGCGATACGAGTCGGTATCTAATTCGGTTGGCCTTGGCATTGAAAAAAACAAGTTTTTGTTTTCGTTACACCTCGTTTTATTTTGCATGCTCGTCCATGTCGCGCGATTACGGGCAAAAACGTCTTATGTGTGTTGCATTATGTCACTATTAAAAGAAACGTGTTACATTCTTATTTTGGATTCTAATTTGTTATTCAGTTGGTGGTTTTATGCAAAAATCATTTAAAACTTACGAATAATGATGCGAATTATGTATATATTTGAATGAAGCAGGTACTTCGACTACTAGATTAGTGTAATGCTATGTATATTGGTTTCTTTTTACTATTGTTGCTTTGGGTTTTGGATTACAATATTTATTTCTTCAATAAATATGCTTATGTGTAATACATTAAACAAGTTTCTTTTTTTACATTTCATTATAGAGACATTGAGATACAAATTAAATATTCACCGTATTATAATAGATTAAATAAATGATTCATTGTAAACCTTCAGACACCGTAATAAGGCGCTCCATTAAAGGCTCAAATCTGTTAAAACTTTTTACTCTGTGAGTCGTGACTAGTTACTTGTTAATACCATAATGTCCACAGTTTGACAGTCCTGACAGCTTGGCGCGCCGTCGTCGGCCGTTTGTATCTATATATGTCTAGGTCCATAAACCCAGTGGAGTAATGAATCAAAATCCAATTTGCAGTGACTGTTGCACTTTGAGCAACTAACATTTCGTGATACTTGAAACAGGTCATAATCATTTAGGCGGTTTTGCAGTGATCGCGTAGACTTGCAGGATTATATGGAGACGACAAAATCATCGAGTGCATGATTCAATCCTTTGGCATTTTGCCCGTTTTATTATTCCCGGCTTGTTCATTTAGTATATTTATACATTTAAAAGGTGCAGTTGCTAAGCTGAATTATTTGTTTTTCGTCGTTTTTTGTCGAAGTCTCTCCTACGATTAATATATTAATAGTCGTTTTTCATCTGTCAAACGAATAGATCGCTTTTTTCTGAGTTTTGATAACCTGTTGCATGTTAATATTATTATCAATTATTTATAATTATAACAAACAAAGAATATTTATAATCAAATTACTGTGTAGTAAGAAAACAAGAATATTTGGAAAGTTTGCAAATGGATATGATAAAAATAACTTTTATGAACAAACACATTTGTTGATAGGAAGCGATGTTTTCGCAATACATAATGTACATACTGATATTTAAAAATTTGTTATCTTTTAGCGAAGTCATGTCTACCCATATAATAAACTCTTGTTCATTACATCGTATCGCGCATTATAATTCTCTTTTTTTTTTAAACCGACTTCTAAAATATAGTATGTTTTTTTCTTATGTTTATGCTATCGCATTTGTTTACTGCTTTTTAATTTGATTTTTTTTATTAAAAGGATTTTTGATTGGTCCTAAAGAAATTTTAACAAAATTAATTCAATAGTTTAAATTAAAATAAATGGTTTTGCGACAATTGCAGTTGGTGTTTTTTTTTTAATTAGAAACTTAAATTATCATCTTTTACCGAAAGTTCAGCGACGTATTAAAGAATTTGTGATTCATGTTGTAGTTATAAAGTTACATTACTTCTGTAAAAGAAGATAATATCGCCAATAATATTTCGAAGGATCCTCTACTAATTATATCAATATTTTTTGTTTTTTTTTTTTTTGTTTAATGTTTACTGGATGTTTAATGAACTAATTTATTGATAACACTTAATGGTAGAAATTCCATACCTATTCGATTAAAAAATATCTCTTATATATTTTCAAATAAGGAGAATTTCAATTTGTGTATTTTTGGGTGTATTTTATGCGATATTTTCTTTGTTTTAAATTTTTTTTTAATTAATAAGGTTTACTCTCACATTGGTCCTGTATTAATTTTGTCACGATTGACTAACTTGTCTATGAAACGCCTTATCGTCCAATGATTCATTCTATTCGATTTAAAATAAGAATCATTCAAACTTTTTTTATTTTATAAAGTTTACTATATTAGTTTTAAAATAAATTTTTGATTTAAAAATTTTGGGTCCCATATATATATATATATATATATATATATATATATATATATATATATATATATATATATATATATATATATATATATATATTCAAGTATGCTTTTTGATTTTTTTAAGTGTATGTAATGGGCACCTACAGTAATTACAGTTGCCTCAACAATTTATTTCAACATCTGTGATACGCATAGTATTAATAGTTCTTATTTATAATGAACCAATTAAAATATTTCCTTTATAAGATCGGCTAAATTGCACAGAGATTCGAGCATAATGACGTACCGAGATCAGATAAAACCAACCAAATGTCCACAACATTTTCTGGTTGGACATTAATTAATAAAAGCCAAATAAATGGACCGGTTTATTAATATTTATTGTTTTGTTTTTTTGCGAAACAATTTTCTTAATTATTTTGCGTAGGTATTAGTGCTACAATTAACTACACATTTGATTCGGCCTTGTCTGAAATAATTTGTTCTCTATTCATTTTTACCCGCAACTTTGTCCGCGTGACCGGGATATATTAATGATAGGGACAATAAGTAGCTTTGTCCGTTTGCATCTCAAATACTATGTATATGTTAGATTTCATGGCAATTGTTTTAGCTGTTGAAATTGCTAAGCGACAAATTCATTTCCACGATTATTATATTAGTAAATTTCACATATATTTATAATAATTCTATATTATAGTAAAAATTTAAGCTATACTTAATAAAAAAAGTAATACATTTTGCAAATTATTTTAACTATTGGAGTGTTACATTCTATCATATTGGGAAATTAGCACAAAAGAAAAAGATAATATAGCTAAAATAGGTTTATGAGAGATTTGTTTTAATGAAAATCTCTTATCGATAATATAGTAAAAACTTAAGCTGTAATTAATAATATAATAAAATAAATAACAATAAGTTAAATAAGTAACAATTATGACTCAAACATATCAACTCATGCTAGTACATATACAATGCTATGAAGATGAATTTGTTACAGTTTAATATTATTTGACCAATTTAAATATTTAATTTAAACACTATTCCCCATATCTGTACAATAATATTAAAATAAATTAATGAGACTTTTATAACAAGACGCTGAACGGGTTCTTACGAAAATCTTTCTGTCTATGAAGATGAATTTCTTTGTTACAGCTTAATATTATTTGACCAATTTAAAAAATTCATTTAAACTCTATTCCCCATATCTATACAATTATATTCAAATAAATTAATGAGACTATTATAACAAGACGCTGAACGGGTTCTTGTAAAAATCATTCTTATTTTTTTTATTTCTATTATTTCAGGGCTGGTGCGGGCGCAAATGGTATATTTTCCAGAAGACTGGATTTCTCCACTTTCAATTTGCTGCCGAAGCACAAAGTCAACTCATATCAGATCAAGGTATTTTTAATTTTAATTTTATATTATGTTCGACTTCATCTATAAAGGAAAACTTTATATCATTGGATATATTAATTAGTGTTATGTTATATATATATGTTCAAGTGTATGTGTGTATGTATTATAAATTTGCTAATTTATTTAGACAATATGAGGCAGATAACGGTTGATAAGATGATGATAAAGAATATGAGGGATCTTAATAAGACCAATATTTTCTGAAATCCTGTCTGTCTTATTTCGAATATTTATTTCGAAACTAGCTAATACTCGCGACTTAGTCCGCGTGGTTATTTGCTATTTCTGTTTAGTATGTATCGATGTATCTTCTTATTTATTATGTCTGCGAATACTGGACCAAAATTAAAAAAATTACGTGTCGTTCTCACTCTTTGCCTTACGTCAAAATTACTTAAGTATTATAGTTTTTTAACTATCCCACGGCACTCTTTAATTTTCGTGATTAAAAGTATCTAAAATATTGAATGTAAGATACTACCATGCAAAATTTCATTTAAATCGGTCCAACAGTTGCGGAGATAAGTTCGTACAAACAGACAGAGAAAGAAAAATTAGAAAAAAATGTGGATGAAAAAATCTATTTCACTTGTAACAAACCCTTAACTCGGATTTTGGCGTTTTTTTTTTTCTATGTACAGACATTTGACCACTACATAGATTATGCGAAAGCTACTACATTTATTTAAATATAATTTTCATTTTTATTCCTTACTAACTCCTAACTTATAATCTATTTTTCTGATATTGTCTATGGGCGACGGTAATCACTTATCATCAGGTGAGCCGTATGCTTTGCCTTATTTTTTTTTAATGGGTGATAATGAAATGGTAACCCCACCCGCGCTATCGGTATACATCAGCGGGGCACCAGTGAAGGATGATAGGTGAGGATGAAGCAAGTCAGTTAGCCCATCGTGACGAATTCAATAAGAATTGTTTACGATGGTTTCCAGGGGGAACCATGTGGAGGACCTAATTGGGTATATTGCTAACAATAGGGCTGTCAATCTCCATTGCTAATAATCCCTTTTCCCCCGCTGTATGCTTGTTATCTCGCTATATCATAAAAAATATATTCAGAATTATCTCATTAAGAAGAATAGATTTGTTTTTGTCCAACTTCGTTTGCGTGACCAGAATATGTTGATAGAACAGGATAAAAGTTACTTTATGTGACCTTACATCTTTCCATACATCTCCAATACGTATGTTCCAAATACATGACGATTGGTATAGTCGATAAGGCGCCAAGAGGTAACAAACAAACGCTTTCACATTCATTTATATACGTATATAAGTATAAACTAAACTAAGGAAATCTCCAAATTTGGGTGACCTATTAATCTATATCAAGTCGCAAACACATTTAAATTGTAAAATAAGAATGACACACGTACCTAACAAATACATTGCCGTAATATGTTTGTGTTCGCCTCGTGTGTTTGTAATGCATTATTTAATATTTACACACTGTATCCTTCATGGTATAGGTACCTATGCACGAAAAATTGACGCCCGACCAAATGTTTACTTCGTTTGTATTACGCAATAAAATTTATAATAGGCGTGCGCTTGCCTCGTGAAGTGGCTTAAGCCAGTTTTTATTAAAATGCCGGCAAATGGATAAAAATATAAAAGTTGTTTAACTCTGTAATTAAACCAGATACAAAAATTAAATGCATGATCGCAGTAAAATATTATTTACTGTTATCCATGCTTAATGGCTGAACACGAAAATGGTTGAACATATTTATTATCTTCATCTTCTTATGTTTTCGACGTGAAGGAATGTGATCGGTCGATGTATGTGTACGTTCTTTTTTTTTAAACCGACTTAAAAAAAAAGAAGGTTCTCAATTCTGTTAATTTTTTTTTTATTACCGCCTCCGTCAGTTATATACTGATTGATTGATTGATATACCGAAGAGAATTGGAAAATTCTATTTTATCTAAAAGACTTATATACTTACAAATTGGTCCCATAGAAATTTTATCAAAGTCGTTTCACTAGTTTAGTTTTGAAATCAAAACGGTTTTTGCCACAATCGTAGTCGAGATTTTTTTTTTTATGGAAAACAATCTTACTTTTAACATATTTGGTAAAAACAAAACATATTTAATGTAGAAAATATTCATATATTACATTAAAATTATTAGTTCTATTATTATCATATATTTTTTTAGTGAGCCATAGATGGTAGTAAGCCATAATATGCCAAATCCTCTTGATACAACTGACAGGCTACCTATGGCAAAGGAGAAGAGAATACACACATATATATATCAACGCACAGCTTACCAAATGTTTGCAGTAGGTTCCTTCTATAACATACGCAAGAAATAAAAAAATCATTTTTAAAATTAGGACCCTAAAGGTGTAAATATAAGACTGTAAGTTTATATGAATATATTTTTTAACCGTTAGATACTTTAAATATACTATAAATACAATTAAATAAAAATAAGGAAAATTAATTTCAGCATTTTTTTTTTAATTCTTTTCCTGAGTGTATTAAAAAGGGATGAATGATGATGACTCGTGATATCACCTGACTAAGGTACTGTGCTAATATATAATAAAGATGAACTGACTGAATGAGCATAAACTCATTATAGTGGAAATATAGATGTCGGTAATATTATAATCTATATATGATTCCACTTAATTGTTATATTTATTATTAAATAAAATTATAAGCAACTCATGCTGTAATTTACTTGTACTTCTAAAGAAAAATAAAATATCGATCCAGTTCATATCACCATAAGAGAATTTCAATCAACGCCATCTGTTGATCTTAAGTTTCATAGATAACTTTCTCGGCCACGGATTATTTTGCAATTGCGTTATGTATGTTTGTTATGCGGCGTCAGTATCTAATCTCTACGGGCCTTGAGCCAGTTGTGTGTCAAGCAACGGTCATTCGCCCGTCCGCCGTGGCCGCTTCTATTTTTAAACGGCGTTTGTTTGTTATTTATTAGTACTGCAGGACGACGTAGGTACTGTACTGTCGTGGTGATTGAATAATTGTTTTTCAGACTCCATTTTTATCGGTTGCCAGTTGCTACGGCACGCTCGATATACGCTTGCAGTTGGTTTTGATATCGTAATGCATTCTTGTGCATAACGATATCTTTATTGATTTCCCGACTGGATTCTTTTTCGATAAAAGAATCGGTTTAGTATTGATTTTTTATTATTTATTATCATGCTCGTACGTCAAAATTATATGTCTGGCTAATATAAGTCTAAATACATATTTGATGATCATATATGAATTCTTATATTAGATTTGTTATTTCTATATATCAACAAGAACATATATGTCTACATAGGTCAACGTACTACTGTAATTTGCCATTAGAATGGCTATAATAATATGTATAAACTTCTATTTTAAGCGATAGATTAGTTTTTTTTTTGTGTTGTTTAATACTAACAATTAGTTTATAAAATTATAGAATAGACAACTATATCATTTAATTTTATTAATTACCCAGTTGACCGACCTTATACGTTAATTGTAAAGCAAGATAGGCCGTTCTAATTACCAGTTCATACTAGTTACAGTCATTTATTTGCCTTGAAATAAAAAAAAAAAAGGTTTGTAAATAAATTAATATCTGCTCCAAGTAACAACAGCGTAGGTAGATATCGTGAGCAAAATTGATTACATCGCTTCACACAGGATATTTTTCAAACCGCAATATGTCAGCGACCATAAAATGTTCTTATCACTGCATTCGACATATGTAATAGTAGCAGTAGATATAATAAAAATTTGCACAATTTTGTCTGTCTTTTATTATATCAGCCGTTACTGTGCACTGCCGAACATAGGCCTTCCCTATAAGGGGGTTTTGTCAATAATTGCTATGCTTGGCAAGCGGATTGGCATCCGCAGTTAGACTTTACTGATGTTTTAAAAGGTGCATTGCTGCCCATCTATCGATGATTGTTCCCTTAGTCGCCTCATACGACGCTCACGAAATAGGAAATGGTAGCCCATTCTATGCCTGGACTACACATTTTTTTCTCGGCATTATATTTGTATTATTAAAGTCGTACAACCTTAGTAAGAAAATTTTTAAAATGATTTAAATGTTATACAATGTTTGATAATTATCTTATCGATTACTTAAAATATATTTTTTTTTTAAATTATGGAGGAATGGACGGTGTGAAAAATGGTATATATAAAAAAGATGTGACCCCTAGCATAACAACTGATAGAAATAATTGAAAAAGGAAGACAGCAGTAAGTTTCAATTTTAGATACATTTGACAGATCATTAGTATAGTGATTCGTGACCAACGTTTGCGACTTACTAAACATAAAAGAAAGAAAATATACGTGTCTTAATAAACAAATCATTACACCAATATAAGTCATAGCATTATATCTTCTTTTCATTTTACATGGTGATAAAATCATTGCACCAATTTGAATGCAATTTCGCGAACCGCGACAGCTCAATCGTGCACGCAAGATAATTTAAAAACATTTTCTTCACTTATCTATAGAGCAAATAACGTGACCAGTATTGTCTTATTATGATTCGTTTCGCTCCACGTCGCGTGACACTACTCCGTTTGTTCGCCGCAAGGGAAAACTTCATAATTCCCTTCTCCCGTGTATTACTCCAATATGTTCAACAACAACCTTTTACACGAACTTTTGTTTTATCTAGAATGTTGTAAACAACTCCCCACCGAGATAGTAATCTTAGATTTCTAGAAATTGTGACCATTCCGTTGCGAGTGGCAATAAAATTCAATCGCTTCGGCATGAAATAAATATCGGTCGACTTCCTTCTGGAATCTAATAACTGCAGTGAAACGATACTAAGGTTGTAAGCATGATTGGACAGCCACAAACGAGGCTGTCTTCGCGAAGCAGCATCATTAAATCGTCCACTTCTTCTATTTATGGTGTCTTGATGTCTGGCAACATAATATTGATGGCTGGGACCGGTTA